AGGTGCAGACACCATTAAATCCCCTTGAGGCTGACAGTGGTGGTGCCTCACTCTCTGAGACCAATACTGTTCTTCATCATCTGAGCTCTCTATATGGTTCGATGCGTCTTGTTAGCATGTTTTGGTTCGTGCAACTGGTCCGTCCGGTTATTGTCTCCCCAGAAACATTTCCGTTGTCTTTTTTCCTATTTCCATTGTGTTGTGTGTGCTTTTGCAGCGTTTTTCTTCTTGCAAGCGGTTTTCTTCTTGCAAGCGGTTTCTGAAGTTGCAGTCCGTTTGGCCTCTCAGGGCCACCGTACATTTGCATCAACAGCATGAACTAAAATGGCCATTTTAATCTCTGGATCATTTAAAGAGATCTTTCCAAAATCAAGGTTCACTGGCCAATTAATTTCTGGTTCAGCAAGAAACTTTGGCCATGACAACCAGGAATCATCCATTTTTACCTGATTGCACCTAAAAGGTAAACCAATGGTCTAATGACCATCAACCAATTTAAGAGTCCATCACTGACTTCATAAACTGCTGATCTTCTCTAGACAAAGCAAATTGCTCATCCTGAATACATTCTGGAAAATCAGCCTTCATTTGACGTTCCCACAGCTCATCCAATCTTGCCACGGAAATCCTATTGAAACTCACATCAAAAATGTCAGTCTTATGATCCTCTCTGAGAGGACCATTCACCGTCCAACCCAGCATAGTTTTTACTGCATAGGGACCTCCATCCTGACTTCTAACAACCTCCCATGGCTCTAAAGCCTTGGGCACATTGGTCCCGATCAACAGGTCTACCCCGGAATTTATCTCCAGTATCTTAACAGGGCTCTAGAGTGAGACCAAATTTTTCAGTGGTGCGACTAAAAATATATATACATTTGGTTGCACCTGTGCGACCAACTGTTCGGGTAGCAAAAAATAAATAAATAAATAAAAAAAATTTAAAAAAAATCTGCAACCTTCCCTGTGGTCAACAACAGACACACATTATGCCCCTATCGTGGAAGTGCAGGTGGAAGTGGGAGGTGAGTAGCTTGACTAAAGCGACATCAATTCATTATATCCTGAATCGACTTTTAAATATAACCGTGTTTTGCCAGAAACGCCAGATTCTCAGATTAAAGCTCACAAAACCATTTCAACAACAACCAAACAGCAGATGAGAGCAGGTACACGGACTCCACACAAAGACGTAAACACAGACCCGACGCATCAGAATCAGCTTTGTCTTTCTCGGCTTTCTCACCCGACGGCCCGTAGACGGACACGCTGTCGGAGCTCAGCGATCCCGATGCGTCCGGTCCGCGCTGTGTTTACGTCTTTTTGCGCCGATTCTGAGCTGCAGGTTTTGTCTCTCCAACCAAAATCCACCGAGCCAGCAGCAAAAGAAGCAGCAAACTGCGCTTCACATTTGATCAATGTCGTCATGAATTTTGCTGTTTTGCTTCCACGACTATTAAAATCACACTTCATCTTGAGAGGGGCGTGCTTCCACCCACCCTAAACCTTGCCCATATATCCCTGATCTTAAAGAAGGATAAACCCGCGGATCTGTGTACATCCTACAGACCTATAAGTCTACTTAGTGTGGATTGTAAGATTCTGTCCAAAATTTTATCCAGACGTTTGGAGGAGGTTCTGCCGGTTCTGATAAAGCCTGACCAGACGGGATTCGTCAAGGATAGATACTCCCGCTCCAATGTCCACCGACTCATAAATGTTGCGCAGTTCTCTCAGAACGCCAATTATAGGGCTCTTGCGATCTCTTTGGATGCTGAGAAAGCATTTGATCGGGTGGAGTGGGAGTATCTATTTGATGTTTTGGACAGGTTTGGTTTGGGATCTGAATTTGTCAAGTGGGTCAAACTGCTGTATGGGGCCCCAGCTGCAAGGGTCTTGGTTAATGGCTCGGTCTCGGATGTCTTCCCACTGGGTAGGGGAACGCGGCAAGGATGCCCCCTCTCTCCCCTGTTGTTTGCACTTGCTTTGGAGCCACTGGCAGAGGCTATAAGAACTGATCCTGAGATCTGTGGGGTGACCTTGTCGAATACTGAATACAGGATTTCCCTTTATGCAGATGACGTGTTGCTCTTTCTCACTAAGCCAGAAACTTCTATTCCTGCACTGACACATATCATCAACCAATTTGGCCTCTTCTCAGGGTATAAGATAAATTATGATAAATCTGAAGCTTTGCCACTGGGTGACGGGGGGAGGTGGGACGCTCCTCCTAATTTCCCTTTCAGGTGGTCGACCACAGGTTTCACATATTTAGGTATCAGGGTGTCCGCAGACACAGCGGAGTTGTACAAGTTGAACTTCAAGCCGATTGTGGCCTCAATCAAGAATGACCTCAATAGGTGGTTTGACCTCCCCCTGTCTTGGACGGGTAGAATAAGTTTAATCAAGATGAATGTGCTACCCAGAATATTATACCCCATTCAAATGTTGCCTCTCAGGATCAACAGAAAAACATTCATAGAGATTGAGGGATGTCTTTCTAAATTCATATGGCGTGGGAAGAAATCTAGACTAAAGATACAGATTTTACAACTGCCCACGGATGAGGGGGGTCAGGCACTGCCTAACTTTTTATATTACTACTGGGCTTGCCATGCACAAATAATCTCAGGGTGGTTACATTCCTTCCTTCACCGGGGCGAACCATCGGTAGATGCCTGGTGCTGTGACCCTCTCTCACCTCTTAGTCTCTTATCCACTGACCTGGCGGACCTCCCTCTTGGTGTCAGAACTAATTCCGTCTTGATGCCCACTTTAAAGGTTTGGCGTAATATTACTGCCCACGTCGGAAGAAGAGGTTTCTCTAGTGCACTGCAGCCTCTAACTAGGAATAAAGCTTTCCCCCCGGGTATTGGCATTAATATATTTGATGATTGGTATTCTAAAGGTATAAGATTTATTTGTGATCTGTTCGAAAGGGGTAGTTTTATGGCCTTTAATCAAGTTCAAGTTAAGTATAATTTACCACAGAAACACTTCTTTGGATTCCTGCAAGTAAGGCATTATGTGAACTCCCTTAAATTTCCAGCCAATCAACCAGTTTTGAACCCTGTTGAAAGCTTTCTTCTCAAAGTTAACGAGGAAATGACTACAAAAAAGAAATGTATTTCTCTTTGTTATGGGAAATTGTTGTCTTTGAACTTTATAACCACTGATAAGGCCAGGGTTCGGTGGGAAACCGACCTCGAAGCTCAGGTTGGTGCGGAAGCATGGTCCAAAACTTTCAGATCTGCCATGAAATTGTTTCCCTGTAACAGACTAAAGGAAAGCCAGTACAGAATCTTACATAGACTACAGCGTACGCCGGAGTTCCTAAATAAAATTCACCCTCAGATTTCTGCTCTTTGTGTGAAGTGCAATACGGCTGTAGGGACCTATTACCACTGCATATGGCAATGTCCTTTAATTACTAGATTTTGGAAGAATATTGCTATAGAGCTTTGCTCTATTTTCCACCGAACGATCCCACTGAACCCTATGCTGTTCGTTCTGGGTCTATCTATAGAAGGGCTCTCTCTGTCTTCTGTACAGATGCTTTTGTTAAGTAAACTTTTACATTTGGCGAGGCGATGTGTACTGTTTCAATGGATCCAGAGACGGCCCCCTACTGTTACACAGTGGTACAGAGAACTGCTCAGGGTGCTGCCGATGGAGCGCCTCAGTGCCATCATAAAGGGCAATTGTAATGCATTCTGTAGCATATGGCAGCCTCTGCTTGATCACCTACCTCATGACCTTACTGTGCTATTACATAAAGGGGACTCGCAGTTTGTTTTTAAACACACTGATTAATGTCTGTGTTTCTCCCCCCCCCTTTTTTTTTTTTTTTTTTTTTATTGTTTCCCTTGACTTCGAATGTAAAACGCTTTACATATTTTGTCCCAGGCGTGTGTACTGGTAACTCATATACCTGCATTTGCTTTGTTTTTTTTTTGTTTTTTTGTGCTTGGCTGTGCTGACTTGTTGCTGTTCGTGTTGTTCTGACAAAATCAATAAATCATCGTTTCAAAAAAAAAAAAAAAAAAAAAAAAAAAAAAAAAAAAAAATCACACTTCATGCACAGCTAGCTCTCTCTCTATCTCTCTCTGTACTTCAAGAACAGTTTCCCGTCTCCAATCTCTGTTTTCTGAGTTATTCATTCACTTATTACCCACCAGTCTACCGTTGTTTACAGCGCTGTGGCTGCTGTCTTTTTCTTTTTGTCACTTAAATGACCTCGGACAAGAAAGCCTGTTTTTTCTGTTGTTCAATACTGAAGAAATTTAAACTTTATATGCAGAACATTGTAGAATATTTTTAAGGTTATCTGCTATAAAAAGCCAGACCAGGAAAATCTCCTTCATGTTTTTCTGTGTTTTATTCTCAGTTACTTTCACACAAAGGCATCTGCTGTGATGTTCACAATTCTGATAAAGTCAGTACTGATAAATGATCAGAATTATAATATTTCTGACTGTCTGAGGCTAAGTTGAATCGAATCGGGACTTTGAAAACCGGAATCGAATGGATTATAGAGATCAGTGATGATACCCAGCCCTAGTGAGCAGCCTAGGCACGACAGAAGTGGATGTAGCTGTAATAGGAAAAGAACTATTGCTAACTTTTCTGTTAAGGCCTGATCCTTCTGAAATTCATAGCCAGTGCTCTGACACGGTGTCATCAATCTTTGAATGCTGAAAAAGCACAGTGTATCCAGAAAAACACATATTATATCAATTATAAAATTTGTGTGCGCCTAACTTTTGTACCGGTACGCCTAACTTTAAAAAGTTAGGCGTACCGGTACGCCCATGGCAAAAAGTTAGTCTAGAGCCCTGCTTAATATAGCGCAAATGTGGCCATCTATCGAGATCTTCCTGTCGAGGAATATTACATTGATGAACAGGCATGCTTTTCTGAGTAAATAAGTCAGGCAAGTCACAGTAGTGATCTAAATCCAAACCAGCTACTTCAAAATCTGAAACAACATAACTACTGACCATTTTCTCCTGACCCATTGTCCGCAAAAGAATGCCAGTTTTCCTTCCTGAAAGATTCAGCCTATTCATGAGCCCTTCAGTACAAAATGAAGCTGGGCTCCCAGGATCTAGGAAAGCATAGGTTATCAGTGACTGATTACCTTTCTTGGCCTTCACTCTAACGGGTATTATGGACAGAGCACTATTTTACTCACTGGCCCCAGTAACACCACTGCTTTGCACAGCACATGAAGGACCTTCATCTGGTGGTTCTCCCCCTCCTATAGTTTGCACTGCAACACTTTCCCTCCGCTTGGAGTGAATATGTAAGAGTGTGGGGTGTTTCTGTTTACAGACTTTACACAAGAGACGTTTCCTACAGTCCTTGCTTCTGTGCCCAATGCGCAGACAACCATAACACACGCCATTCTCTTTCAAAAAAGATAATCTTTCAAAGTGCAACTTTCTTTCAAATGAAGGACACAAATCCAACATATGCCCTGCTCCACAAAACAAGCAAACCTTGGTCACAACTGAACCACTCTCTCACCTCAATCTTCCCTTCCACCTTGGCCACTGTAGTAGCAAAACTACTCCGCTTAGCCTTAGGGTAAAACTGAGACTTACCATTCCTCGCCTCTTTTCTGGTGGCTGTCGGAGGATCATGTATATCTCCAAACAATGGGTCACTTGCGATCTTAACTTGCCTTTCAACAAACTCAACATTGCTAAAAACCACTTTACGTTGAAACCTCTCCTGCAGATCGCAGACAACATTCCTCCATTTATCCCTGAGCTTATAGGGTAACTTTTTTTTTTTTTATAACTGCTTGCATATTAGCAGAGACATCCAACTCATGCAAGGACTCAACATCTCCCATTGCATTACAACATTGCCTTAATAAAAACCCATATTCCTGCAAAGCCTTCACATCATCAGATTTTATAGGTGGCCATTTACTGACCCTTTCAATGTAGGCAGCAGCAATTTTCAGCGAATTGCCAAAGTTCTCTTGGAGCAAAGATTTAGCTTTAGCATATCCATACTCAACAGGCATATACTGACAGCTTCGGACCATTTCTCTGGGATGGCCTCTAGTGTATTGCACGAGAAAATATAAACAAATCTTAGCACTGTGAGCTTGACTCTCCACCATGTGCTCAAAAGCTCTCATAAATGTTTGATATTGCAAAGGATCGCCATCAAATAACTGAATGTCACGACTTGGTAGCAAAAACAGAGACTGCTGCTCAGCCAGTAAAGTTGTCATTTCATTTTGTTTCTTCAAAACTGACTAGATGATCATAACCCTCACCACCTTGCACTGTATGTGTAAGAGGTTTCGATTGTGCGTGAGACTGCGACATCATCCGAGTAGTCGAAACTGCACCTGGAAATACTTGATATAACTTCGTCTCCGACTGTTCCAACGAAACAACCTTAGGCTGAGAAGTATTTTTAACCTCGGGCCTCACATCCAATACATGTGCTTGATGATCACTTGCATCGACACCCTGATATGGTTGCTCTGGTAACACAGGCTTGAATGTCGGAGCATTGGGATTTAAAAACGACTAAACGCCCCTGCTCTCGTTCTAAATACGAATTCATTCCATCAGATTTACCATTAACAGCACTTGAGACTCGGGACATTTCAGAAGCTTTTAAAACATTCACCTTTGCTGCTGAGGCTGCTATTTCAGTTTCTAAGTCAAGCAGCTCCTTTCTTTTCTTAGGCTGTGTTTCTTGTTCTTCCAAAGCATGCTTTTCTTTCAACAACCTCTGTCGAACAAGAAGGGCAGCCATGTCAGCCTCTGCCGTTATGTGTGCTGACAAGGCAGATGAAACCATTGAGCCACTGAGTGATGATTTACTTTTCCTACAACTTCTGCTTGCAACATTAGAGACGCTATCACTTGGATTAACATCATCTATCGCAGCACCTTTACCAACATTCCCGGCGTGCCTAGAAGCACCAGAACCATTTCCAGCAGGTAATACATCAGAAGACTCAACACCAGGTGGATTTAAATGTGGCAAATCAAGCTCAGACACCTGATTTCTACTCTTCAGGTTTCCCTTTGCATCATGAAGCAATTTCTTTATCTCTTCCATAAACTCAGTATTATGTGCTTGCACACTTATAAACCAAGCAGTTTGTTTTTCTTGCTCCTCTTGAGGAAGCAAAGGAAGCAAGGTTTCATGCAGACGAGTTGCCTCATTAAGCAACACAGACAAATTCTCTAACTGAGCCTGAACAGTGGAAACATTATCTTCAGATTGCTTTAATTCTTTAACCTTTATGACCTTTTTAATTTTATTAATCTTAGTGTGACGTTCTGTTTGAAGCCGTCTTTTCTTTCCATCTGCATCACCACATTGTATTAATTGGCGTGTCTCCATTTTTTTCAAAACATTACAAAATCCAAACACTAAACTGCAACTATGCCACACATATTGATTCCAACACATCAACTTGATGACATTCCCTTCAATAAACCTTGGACACACAATTAACAGGAGCAATATCCCCACTATCTGCCTATTAAACCTAACTCAACCTAGTCTTCCGTACATACTAGTGGTGGGTATTTATGTACCTCCATACCGTCAGCTGTGAGAAAGACAAACTGTCTTAAACACAAACTGCGGCGGTACTCCCAAGCCAATGGCTTCAGCCGCCTGATGCACAATACCTAGAAAGCAAATCAGTACAACGCCTAGTGCAGCTGTACTGCTGAAACCTAACGGGAATAAGACTCCTGAAAGAAATCTGTTGTGTGTAGCCAAAGGCTTCGTCTAAAAGCTGCATGGACAAAGGCAACAGCAAACTATAAAACTCATCTATATATAAATAATCCAATAAAACCTACAAACTTTTCTGTTGACAATTTGTTGCGGCTCCTCCAACCAATGGCCGCGGCAGGCTAAACATGAGGACACAGATGACGCACAACAATAAATGCATAAAATACACTTCTGTATCATTTGCTCCTTTTATTCCACATGCAACTGTCCAATATATAAATCAGCACATGGGATTAACTATTAAACAAATGCACAGATTGCACAAACAAATAACTGCAACTCACCAATAACTGCACTAATTACAATGCCAACACACAGTTTGGCCTATGGCATCAATTAGTGCACAAATATACATAAACTAGTGATGGCCCGCTTGAAGCTGACGCTCCGGAGCGTGTGTCGAAAAAAAACAACACACTGGTTCAGAAGCACTGTGTCGAGGCTTGCTTCGTTTGGCAAAAGTCACGTGACCAGTGACGTCCGAAGCTTCATTACGCACGTAACTGCTTCGGTACCTGATTCAAACAGATATAAGGAAGTGAATCATCCACGGGATTCGTGGAGTGTGTTGATGGTGACAGATAGCGACGAGGTGATCATTCCACTGACAGATATGGAGCCAGCGAGGAAGAGAGGACATTCTGGCGTGTGGGAATATTTTGAGTTGATTTTGCTCAATTCATTTTATCTGCCGAAGTGAAAAACTTGAAATGTCCAAAATCATGTTTTCATAATGTAAATATCATTACAGCATATGACTTTAGGAACACTTCCATGTGAATTAAAGCTAATGAAGACTACAACAATGTATTTGGCACTATACGTACATTACATTGCTACAGTTTAGAAAATCATTTTGTTTATTGTTTTTAGGTGATAGTCTGCAGGACCCAGGAATACCTGCATATCTACCAACTTGCAGTGTAGTTCCTGCACTCCACAGCCTCTTCTGTTCCATGCAAGTGGATTTTCTCCAGGGCAGGAGAAACTATTTCTAAGAAAAGAAACAGACTCAGCCAGCGCACAGTAACACTAATCCTCTTGTTAACTGTAAATAACAAAAGGGCTACCTGACATAGATCATGTTTTTACTTTGCAAGTTCTTGATTAGGGGTGGGTTTTGATTATCGCTTTTCTGATTACAATCCATGCTAAATTGAATAAAGTGATATTGATTCATTAAAATCCCGTGTCGATTTGTAAATTAACGTTATTATGCCTGAAACGCCAGCATCTCAGGTTAAACCTCACAACATGTCGTCAAACACCATGCAGCTAAAACAGTAACTGGGAGCAGGTTTACGGATTCTGCATACAAACGTGAACACAGAGCGCGGACCCGACGCGTCAGAGTCAGATTTTGGTGTGTCGTCGGGTCCGCGCTGTGTTTGCCTCTTTTTTTTTTTTTCTTCGCTGGCTTCTGCAGCTGCAGGTTTCATAACTCTCTGTTTACATCTCTAATTAAGTCTCACATGTGTCAGCTTTCTTTTAATAGATACGAAATTATGGATATATACTGTTAAATGATCAGACTTGTAATATTTCTGACTGAGGCAAAACTTTCCAGATTCCAATCAAATTGAATCGGATCCTGTATCGAATCAAAATGATTCTACAAATCAGTGACGATGCAGCCGTACTCAGCTTCCTAAGCATTTTCCCTTTCCAGTTCACAATCAATCCCACCCCTAGGTCAAAAATATGTATAGGACAATTGGCCTAATCTAATATTTTGTATGAACCTGTCCAGCTGTCCAGTGATTAAACGACAAGTAGATGGAGGCAGGACTTCACAGCAGGGGCATACTCCATAATGTGCTGTGCGTTATCATATGTATATTATATATATTGCTCACTTATTGTATTTACCAACATCAAGGAGTTATGAGCAAAGAAAGGCCACCATAGTGCATGTTTAAATAGGGAAAGTTTATTGATCAAAATGTATTACGCAAATACGCATTACATTTTTTTCAGCCCCCCAATCGAGAAAACAAAACCAATTACATGTTCAAAGCAACGGAACGGTGGCCCAATATCAGAGAGAACTCCACTCTTGAGTGAGCAGTGATAATTGAGCAGTCTGTTTTATTTTGCAGATTCAAGCTGCTCTTCAAAATTTTCACCACCAGATGTCACCGGAGAGGACTGTGTTGAAAAGCTTCGAGTAATGAACCGTTTTTCAATACAAGCTTCAGTGCTTCGGAAAGCTTCATTTGGCCATCACTAACATAAACCATCAAGTTCCAGTCAAAATACATCAAAATCATTCAAGCTGCAGTCAACAGAAAGTTTTGC